CTCAAGATTTCGTGCATAATCAGATAGGGAAAGAATCAAGTTGATTGGACATGATTGGTATCAAATTAGCATGAAAAAGATTGAAAAATCATGGCATGAAAATCAAATATTCTCTACATCAATTCATTGATTCTTTGGACCAAAAACCTTACCCTAATCGTTCCATACATAAGCCTAATGCAAACCCTAGTGCTCATAACCTCTGAGCTGCGCAAGAACCCCATAATCAAGTTGGCATTTTTTCAAGAAAACTCAAATACTGAAAACCACCTTCCAGTGCGATTCAAGGCCAAATAATCATTCTATTGTGTTCCTGAAGCTTCAAGGAAGGGGTCTGAATCAAAATCATAAGCTCTAACACCAAGAAACGGTAGAAGCATGTCCCACTTTTCAGAAATATATTCATAATCGCATATTGAATTACATGCATTTTTCATGTGTTTTCTTTACTGATTTACACTAATCTAAGCATTCTAAAGCTAACCAGATGATTTAATTGAGTTTTTATGCATCGTATGAAGAATCACCATGGAAGGTGGTTAGGGTTCTTCAAGTTTGAAATTAGGCGTTTATGAATGCTGTAAAATTAGAACACCTCGATACCATGGTCAAAATCAAGACATTCAGACGAACTCAATGATGGGGTCGCGCCCAATTTATGAAGCAAGATGGCCTAATCGCTATTCTTGAAAAAGGCCTATTTTGGGGGGGTTTAAAACCCCCGCTAACTCCTTTTATATTTCAGGAAAATACAAACGAGGAAGAAGACGGTGATGTGTAAGGCAATGATTGGAGTATTTGAATTGCGCGCTAAAATTTCCCACTAACTCTTGTTTTATCTTATATTAATTATTGGTCATATAACATACAAAGTGCATCAACAGCGCAGCTGGCAAGGAACGTGAATTGGTGACCTCTGGGACCTGGGTTCGAGCCCCAGGTCCCCCTTCTTATTCCATGTTATTTTTCTAACCATGCTTCTGTGTAGTTTCAATACAAGCGCCTATCATATGCCCCTAACCCAGGTGTGCCACATGGCCACTGAAGACAATCTGAAGGCCCAGATCTGAAGAACATAATAGGCCTCAGTCAATGCACTCACACGCTAGCATGAAAAGTCAACAAGACCAAAGATCAATGGGCCAAAAATGCTGGACTTTACCTCCAATTTGGGGGCAGAACCCCCCATGGTTTGCTTTCTTATTCTTTTTCCATATTTTTTCTATTTTATTTATTTTGTTTAATTTTTATTTAAATCTTTAAATTAATTTATTTTCATAAAATATAAAAACAATACAAAAATCAGAAAAAGACAAAAATCAAAATATATTTTATTTAACTAATATTTTTGTAAATAAATCTCATTAATTTAATTTAGCTTTTTAAATTTAGGTTTAATTCAAATAATTTTCATGATAAATTAAAAAAGTGTAGAATTAGGGTTTCAAACATTTTTCATTCTTTTCCTTTTTCTCTCACCATAATTAATTATTTAATATTATTTTTTATAAATCAAATTGCATTAATTAATTAGGTTTAATTTTAGGTAATTTTCATATTTTCTTAATAAATTAAAAAATAGCTAGAATTAGGTTTAAATTTCATTTAATTCACATAAAAAACCATAAATACAAAAAACCTCAAAAATAATTTCTTTTTCGTTTTAATTTCATTAATTTAATAATATAATTTGATTTCATTAAAAAGGGTCCAACGCCCTCGCTTTCAATTTTAATTCAATTCGCGCATTTATTTCTTTTCTTTATAATTATTAATGTAATTCTCCCAAGGCCATGTAAATTAAATATTTATCTTTCGTACTTTATTTCTTTATTTTTTGTCAAATCGGGTCCTGGATTTTAATTTGGCGATATGGACCCGCGCCTTTGTAATAGTTTAGGAACTTTACGTTTCTCGCACTTTTTTAACTGTTAATTAAATCGCATGCAAGAATGAATGTCTAAAATAAAAACGAACGCGTAGATCACCCATGACATGAACAAGACAAAATAACTGAAAACGACACACGAATCACACACCACCCCTAGGGTACGCCTCACTGTTGCCTTGCCTCGAAAGGTGATCGTCGAGTAGAGGATGTCTTAGTAAGTCCTCATGATCCGGGAACCTGGCATGAGGGTAGCTTCTAAGGTATCTTCCCATTGCTCTGGTGATCACCATGTCCCGAACCTCGAATTGACCCGAACACCTCCAACGGTGGTGCTACCTACCTCTCAATGGTGGGATGGCACTACTTTAAAGGACATCTACACAGACGAATTCCTTAGGGTAGGTAGACGACTCTAGATACTTGCTCTAAATCTCAAAACAAATTCAAAATACTTTTCACACCGACACCTTTTCAAAAAGCTTTCGAAAGCAATTTTTCAAACACTCTTGAGGACCGATACAAGAGTCGAACTGAAATTTTCAAAGAAACTTTTTTAAAACCCACTCACAGTTGAAAAGCAAACAAACCAATTTTGAAAACACAATGAGCAAGTATCTAAGAGCCCATGGATAACCATGGATAGAAAGGGTGCTAACACCTTCCCTTTCTATAATCTACCTCCCGAACCGAGAGCAATCTCTATAAGGAATTTTTCTGTGCTTTTGTCCTTTCCATTTGGAGAAAATAAAAGACGGTGGCGACTCTTGCTTCCGCGACATTTCACGAACCAGCGTTAAAGAGTCAGTTCCAGATCCACCGATCACAGTTATCAATCCAGGATGCATATGATGCTTGCATTACAGGTTGTTGACTATGTCATTATTGCATTAAGTTCATCTATCCTTAAGTTAATCAATTAGGATTGGGTATGTCATGGTTTAAGATATTTTGTATGGTAAATTTGGTTGCTTGACGGTCAAGGTATTGCGAATAATTGGTACAAGCTATTGTTTGGATATTTATGCAAGAACTTTGGTTTCAAACATGGATTAAGGTTCAACTTGATAAAAAAGAAAATAGCGTGCCCGAAGGTTTATTTCATGAATTCTTGCGGAGGAAGATGGCACATGAATATAAGTTGAAATTAAAGTACATGGTATCAAGTAAATCTCTTCATGATCAAAGTTGTTATTTTCAAGATTATCCCACATTATTGTTCATCCCAAGGTAAAAGATGAAAAGATTCATATGTGGTGGGGATATTTCTGACAAAAGCTGCTTAATTAAGGAAGATTTAGCTGATGTTGATACTTCAATACAGTTTAAGAATATACCAGACTCTTTTGTCAATCTTCCTGCCGAGTCATATCCACTTGTGATAACATTCCAGAAATTTCTAATGATGCTTGATGGAACTTTGGGGAATTCTTATTTTGAAGGATTTAGTGATCTATCTTCTGAGAACCTTGGTGCAAGATTTGTTGCTTTGGAGACTTTTATAAGGAAGAAGGAAGTGACTTATGACAGGTTTGATGCATCGTATTGGCCGCATTTCAATTCCCAACATACCAAGATGTTAGATTCATCCAGAGTGTTTAGAGAAATTGTGTCACATATAAAAGGCAGTCTGCAATCTGTGGAGTCTGATGAAGGGAAGTTAAGTCGTCAGGATTATCTTTCATTGCCTGAAAACCGAGCGTCAAGTTTAAGCAAGCAGAAGAGGGAGATCATTTATGATATTTATCAAAGTTATGAGAGAATGAAGATGGATAAAGGGAAAGTTTCGGAAACATTTTTGTTGAATCAGAACTTTCGGACTCATGCTGGAGTGCTTAAGTTATCTCAGAGCACCATTGAACTTCTTTTCCGATTTTTCCGCATTCAATTGATGTTTTAAAGCCCGAGACCAGTTTGATATACGGGCAAGCTCCTGTTGTTCTTGAATGTAGAAGCAAAAAAATGCTATTGTAACTATTTTTGGCAACACTGGACATGATGGTGGGAAGATTGTCGGCTTCGGAGCCGAGCAAGTAATATTGGTACGAGATGATTGTGCTCGGAAGGAAATTTTAGACTATGTTGGGAAATAGGCTCTTGTTTTAACTATTGTGGAGTGCAAAGGGCTTGAGTCTCAGGATGTATTACTGTACAACTTTTTTTTGGAACTTCACCTTTGAAAAATCGATGGAGAGTGATTTATGAGTACATGAGTGAACAAGATATGTTGGAACTTACAGAGTCCAAGTCTTTTCCAAGTTTCAATGATTCTAAACACAATATTTTATATTCTGAACTGAAACAGCTATATGTAGCTATAACTCGTACAAGACAGAGATTATGGATATGCGAGAATGTAGAAGAGTTTTGTAGACCTATGTTTGATTATTGGAAAAGGAAGTATCTTGTATAATTCAAAGAGCTGGATGACTCACTTGCCCAGGCAATGAAAGTTGCAAGTAGTCCGGAAGAATGGAAGTCACGTGGCAAAAAGTTATATTATCAAAATAACTATGAAATGGCCGCTCAAGTGTATGCTAGAGGAAGTTTCTTCTCCGACTGTTTGAATGTTTGTGCCAAAGGTGGATTATTTGACATTGGCTTGCATTACATTCAGCATTGGAAACAAAACGAAAGTGCTGACCCTGGTTGGGCTAAAAGCCATGATCTGTATACAATTTCACTACAGTTTGTGGTAGATTATTAAATTGAAATGAAGACAACTTGAGTCAATATTATCAATTCACAAATTGTCAAGACTTGGGAATCACATTGATGCTTTAAGGGAGGTTGCTAAACTTCCATTTTCGCCTCTAGATCCTCGAGAACCTGATACTTCTGTTGAGGTGTTTGAAAATTTATCTCCTCATGTCCAAGCTTGTATACCAGACCTCTTGAAGGTTGCTCTGACTTGTCTGGACAATGTGGCATACTCTGATGGATCGCTTCGTGCCTTGAGGGCTAAGACTTCCAGTTTTATTGCAAATAATGTAAAGAGGAATTGGCCTCGTGATTTGTATGAAAGAGTTGCTTGAGCATTCAGGCTTGTCCGCAGATCAAATATATACAGTGGAGCTAATTGGAGGTGCTACCAGAGTGCCAAAGTTACAGGCTAAGCTTCAAGAGTTCCTTGGTAGAAAATAACTTGATTGGCATCTTGATGCTGATGAAGCAATAGTTCTTGGTGCTGCCCTGCATGCTGCAAATATAAATGATGGAATCAGAAACAGAACTACAAACTAACAAATAGTGCCAGCTCATTTCAAGGTCACATAACTGAATTTCAGTTTCAAAAAACTAACTCTAAATAGTTACTAACTCCTAACCAATTCTATAACTAACTCCTTTTAACCCAACTAAACAACACTGCATAATTTCTAACAGAATTCTAACATAAATTTCCTAACGAACTATTAACAAACTCTCTGACTGCCAAACAGAATTAACAACTAATTTTCCTAAAAGAGTAACAAACTCCTCTAACAGTTTCTACCTTCTAACCAACCTCCCAATAGTGATAACAGAATAACTAACTTTCTAACTGTTTTGATCCACCCTGAATAATCAATGCAACTAATATAAGAGAAAGAGGGATAGAGGATCAAAAGAAGAAGGAATTTTTCATCAATTCACACACAGAGATGCATTGTTATTTTTATTCAGAGAAAGACTACAAAAAAAAACTTACCAATTCATCCAAGCTTGGAATTTCAAGAAGAATTTCCATAAACATCTTCCTTCTTCCCTCCCCTTCATCTTCATCTTCTATCTTCACTCTGCATTGTTAAGAATCCATCCTTCATTCTTCTAGTTCAGCAATATTGCATCATCTTCATCAAATATTCAACATCCATCATCATCTTGCTCCATCACCTTCTCCAATATGTAGTGACTTTCAACATTCTTCACACATCAACGATTATCCTTCATCTCAGCATCATCGCAATAATCTACATCCAGAATAATTTCAACGCACATCAAAGTTCAGAGTCGGAGAAGACACAAAGAAGAATTACCGAAAAAAGAAGTGAATCACAGAAATAATGTCGATTACCTGATTTACCCCTGGTTTCCTCGTATGGCGTTGGAGAGCTGCCGGGTGTTCTCCATTCAATCAATAACAAAAATGCATATGCAAATCCATCATCAAAACTGCAGCAACTCCAATGGTCTTCTTTGCAACAACTTCACAACATTCAAGAATTTTCCTCCTCCTCTGCTTCAACCGTTAACAGCACATCCAATCTTCAACTTTCTCTACAACAGAAGAACAACACTGAGTTATTGACTTGATCATCATCATCATTCAGTTCGTTTTTGGAGTGACATTCAATTGAAGAAAAATGGTTACAAATATTCAATTCAGATATGAAAATTCCCTCAAGTTCTCTCATCTCGCTGAGCCTTATTCTTTTTCTTCATATATTCACTTGGTAGAGAAGTAGCGGGATACAGTAGGAGGAATCTGAGAGCATCGCGTTCTCCATTGCTTCTTCATCTTCTTCTTCAAACAGTTGGATCTATTTTGGAAGATTCCTCAAAGGTTGAAGCATCTGAGCGGCCTTCATCGCCATCATCATCCATGTTCATCCGAAATCTCTCTGCATATCAGCATCTCCGTCGCTACATCAACTTCAAGTCTGCAAAACAAATCACAACAACCACAACAATTTCTTAGAAACAAAAATGCAATAACAAGTTTTGGAAACACATAAAAAGAAGAAGAATTTGTAGAAGGAGATTTCGTAACAAAAAACGAGGAGAGTGTGACGACGGTTACCTAGAGACACTTATGTTTCTATGCTTGATTTCAACGCCGTCAAAGACGCGTCGGGCGTTTTCCGATAGTTTCCGTTTTTTCTGATGAATGAGGCAACTGCGGCTGAAACGGGACGCTGATGAAGATCATGTGAAACGAAGTGAGTCGCGAGTTGAGACGAATTGTAACGAAGCTGAATCGGATCAATGAAATTGGGGACGCAACCGAAAGCTAAGACAGAGATTTGAGCAAATGAGATGGGGAAATCAAAGACGTCGTAGAAGTGTATTCACGTGTGGTGAACGAGTCCACAGCCGTGCCGTTCAAGAGAGAAGAAAAAAATCGCTGTTCAAGAAGAAGAACCGCGGCGCGCTTCGTGAGGAAGATGAAGAGGAAGATTTCATCTTTTAACCCTATTTTTTATCAAGCACGTTTTATTACCCTTTTCAATTTCTTTTTTTGTTAATTATTTTTAATTCAAATTAATATAATAATTGTGACAATAAATAAAATCTGGATTGGATGTGGTGATGTTGGACCGAACCCCCTCTAAGGCCCGTTTTGATTTTTTTATGCCTCAAACTTATGATACCAAAAAAGCTACTGTTGGACCTCACTTCTGCAATGGGCCTAACATCACCTTGCTATACAGTACCTCTGGATTCTGCTTGCACCCCAGGCTTATTTTCATTGTAATTTCTCTTTTATTTGATTTGGTTACTTGCTTAGAATAGAATCTTTTAATGCTTGTTTACATTTCTTGACATGATAAAAATGCAAAAAATATTAGAATAGAATTTTACTTCTTTTATTAACTTTGTTTTTGTTATTTTATCCATGTTTTTGGTAGAGTTTAATGCCAATTTTGTATGAGATTTTGAAATAAAAGAGACTTGAGTGAGGAGTTTCATGAAGTTTCAAAGCTATCCAAGAGCATAATTTTCATCAAGGAATCCAAGGGAACTTTGATAGAATTTCCTTACCGCTTGCATAATTTTGAAGAGGCAACGGACCTTCTCCGTTCGGTATCGTCACAACTCTATTTTATTCTTTATTTCAGTACTTTATCACAAACCATATGCGTGCTGACATTAGGTAGAATTCCCTCATTAATTCTAACTTTAGGGCTAACAATACATAATAGCATTAGGTTTAGAAGTAGGCTAGTCTCCTTTTGACTTTTCTTTCCCTTTTGCATTCGCACTAAAACTAAAACCTTTTTTTTTCTTTTCAAACTTCAAAATACTAAAAATTTACTGACGAGAATCATATATTCGTTAAGTCTGTGAGACGATAAGCGGGTCTCTTCTCGACCTTATTGATCTCTTATTCTAAGCTTTGGCGTGGTTCAAGTCTCAAAGAACATTTCATGAATAAGTGGATAAATGACTAAAATCTCTCCCTTGAGATTAACTAGTCATTCTCTACAAGCGAAAAACACCAACAAACATAAAAATCTTTTTCCCTCGGGCCTTTCTTTCAAACCCTTTTCAAAAAGAGCGTATTAATCCACTTCTGTGCTGACGCGTAAATCTCCAAAGGTCGATTTACGACAGAAGGCGAAATTACTATCGTTCATTCAAAAACAAACGAATTCAAAACTTTTTGTGCGTCCAGGCACATTTCTTTCCAAACTTTTCAGAAGAGCATGTTAATTCACTTATGTGCTGACGCGTAAGTATCCAACGGTCGAGTTGAGGCAGAAGGAGAAATTAATATTGTTCAGTAAAAAATACAAACAAACAAAAAAACATATAAGCCGAACTACGGCTGCTCTGATTCCTTAAAAGGGATACGTAGGCATCGGGGTAGGGCCCGAATGAGCACAACTTTTCATTTTCCCTACATTCTTTTCTCTTTTACTTTTGCATGCACTTTCCCTTTAGTAGTAATAAACAATAAGCATAGATTGAACACACCCATAAGATAGACAACAAGAGTGGATACCGTAGAGTACTACGGGCGTGTGGGGTGCTAATACCTTCCCCTTGCGTAACAGACTCCCTTACCCTTATCTCTTGGTCGTTCGAACTTGATTTCATCCTTCTCGGGTTTTCTCGATGTTTACCTTTCCTACATGTGGGATAAAAGACGTTCGATGGCGACTTCATTGTTTTGATGATTTTCAGCCGGTTGTTTCAGCTGGCGACTTCACTGGGGATCTGGTCGACCAAATGCTGGTCCATCCCAGAGTCGCTCCTAGCTCTTGTTTTCTTTTCTTTGGGTGTTTATTGTTATGCTTTCAGTTTACTCATTTGTACATGTTTGCCTGAGCATAAGTTTGCATTGCATTTTATTGCTTTCCCTATTTGTTATCTATTATGCTGGACTCTGTTTTCCATGTTGGGTGGGGATGTCACTATTGAGGTAAAAGGCCCAGTACCCAGGCCAGAGTGCACTAGGACACTAAGAATAGAGTGGGGGCATGACGGCTATAGGGCGTGGTCCGATTAGTGCAGTCTTGTCATATACCACGCTCGGATGAGGTTCAAATGAATTACTATCGGCACCCACGTCTGTGGGTAAGCCCATAGTGCTTTCAGGCGGACCCGTGATTTTCGAGTTACCATTGTCTTACCCTGACCTAGTCTTCACCCGTGAGTGGGGAGGGATTTGTCATTACAGGTACAGTTGGTGTTATGTTCAAATGGTTACTCATGCTCAGATGGAGACTGTGATCAGATGGTGATTAATGGTTCTAATGATCATGTTATGGACTTCTGTCAATGACTTATGCATATGGTGTTCTATTGGTGACCATATGGTTCTCAGATTTATTTTCTGAGTTCCTGACTTGCTTACTTGGAAGTTCATTCAAGCCTTTGATCTTGGCATTCCCAACATACTCAGAATTTCTCAACAGTATCTGATGTTCCTGAAGCCTTGATCTCATGCTACTTAGATCTACATAGTACTCGACTTTTATATGTGCGGAAGCTATGTCGGACCTTTGATTTGATGATATTCATATTGTTCAGAATAACGCAGCAATCATATTTGAAAATAGTGGAACCTTGAACCCATTTGATCTCACGCCTTTGCATACATAACATGGATGACCACATACTTAGCATACATGTTCTATGATTTCCAAGGAATCGTATTTGTAATCCTAGTGCCAAACTTTTCCATCTTTTACTTACGTAAGATCAAAGCACGTAAATTCCTTGGGAATGAAGGGACATAACATGGCATCTATTCATGTATCCCATGTATATTCATGCATCCATAAAGGTACTCAAGGATTGGGGATTCTTATTCAGACATGGTTCTCCTCGGAGGTTTAGCTTTGACTTCTTACTGCACTTGTTCAGGGATCAGTTAGGGAATAACCCCGTGTGGTATACATGCAAGCTTTGGCCCGTAGTCAAAAATATCTTCAAGCATGAAGATAATTGATTGAAAACTCAGATGAGATAGGTCATGAAGGCTCTGATGATGATGTCAACAATATTGCACCTACAGTAAAGGTTCTCTCTTCCCCTCATCTTTTGGGAATTGCTTCTAACCATGGAGTGCTACGCAATCCTGAGTTCTTAGAACATCTTATCAGGAGATGGTTCCCATTTACTATGTGATCTTATATCAGTGCTTCGTTCTTTTTGACCAATGTCAGATGTGATTACCACGCCGGGGCATCATACCTTCTAATCAGGGACATCCTCCATAACTTTGTGTTCCCTAATTTGTTCAACAAGAGCCAGTCTTTATTCCCCAAGTAAATCCAGGGGGCAAAGTTTTTAAGCCAAGACACAAGAACCCTGATGAGCATGCTAATGCGAGCCCAATGCATGACATCCTAGTATTCCCAGTTCTTCCCAGCTCTGATCTTTGAGGTCTTCCTCCCACAAACATCTCTTCTGATTATGATATGTATGCTAGATACATCCCCTATTCTGGGATACCCGGTTTTGATATTGAAGACTACAAAGGGGTTGAAATATAAAGCCCAACACCTGTTTGGAGTCTCTTCCAAAGGTCCAATTCCTCTTTGGCTAACTGCCACACTCTTTTTCACCAGGGGGATGTCTCTTTTATTCTGATAGAAGACAAACTATATTTTTGTGTGGCGTAGTATGCCTGATGATGCAGCACATATCGTTTCGCTTGGAAAAGCATTCATTTGTTCTCCTGAAAGAATCTAGACGCATATTATACTGGGGCACCTGGCCAATCGATTGAAGATGGTACGTCATCCGGAGACAAGACCCAAGACAAGATCAATCTAAAGACTGTAATGTCCGGATCATATCAGAGGGAGAATTTTCTCACTCACCTCATGCATCTTCATGCATCCATAGAAGGTACTCAGAAGGTACTCGGAATGGGGAATCCTTATTCGGATTCAGTA